CGTCTTTTGAAGTTACGTCATAATAGAGATAAGGGAGGTTTTTGCTTGGCGCGTCACATCTATTTGATTATCAAAAATAGATGCATTTATTTTATGAGAAAAGAAATCGGGTTCAATGAATGGTATAGGGATTCCATTATTAAATCGGGTTCGAAGCTCCCTCTTATATCCGGTTGCTGAACAGGAAACAGGCAAAAATCCATCGAGAGAATAAACAGTGATAAATTGGTAAAAATACAACAAATTTACTGGTAAAAACTTATTATTGCCCACCCTCCCATCCCATTTTAAAAGATGTAAACTCATTCTAGGTGTATGAAGAGTTTAGGATAAGATATGTTGTGTTATTCGAGATCAGCTGATGACGATTATGTACTGTTATTTAGAATTTATTTGTTTGGGCCAAAGATACTGCTCTGTGATTTAAATTGTAGGTCATATGGTCGTAGCCTGTATTGATATACATGGACTGGTGCAATCAAGATGAGTATCGAGAGGCAAGGAGTCCTAAAGAAGAAAAGATCAATCCTGGAGCGTCGTGGCATAGGCGCACGTTTGCGCACAATAAAGTCAACTGATATTTATATATATTTTAATTAATGTGAAATGAGTTGAATACTGATTAACATTTGAGTCAATATTTTGTGCTGATGGGAACTGCATTGCTTTGTGACTTATAAAAATTGCATTTGGTTTTGAAATGAAAACTGCATTTGGTATTGAAATGAAAACTGCATTAGGTATTGAAATGAAAACTGCAATTGGTATTGAAATGCAAAATGCATTTTGTATTGAAATGAAAACTGCATTTTGTATTGAAATGATTATGTAACTTGTATATACAGGAATGATTAATTAATTAACTGTCCGCGAATTGCCCGGGATGGTACGTTTTATATCATTGCTGAACTGATTGATTGATTTGTTGCTGGTGCTGAAGTGGGTCTGCCAATGTTGTTTTTTATCATTTACATTTTTTTATCATTTACAACCAAAAAAGATCCAAGAAAAGATTCCCATTTATACGATCAGATTTTGTTTGTATCATCTGTCCTTAAAATGATAACACACCTGTTATTATATACTGCATGAAATTGATTGATTGATTCCCCTGGAGAACTTTTCACTCATATGTAGACGTACGCCACCACTTTCCGGTGGAGAGCTTCAAACTTTGCCCTACAATCGGTAACCAGGGTCATTGAGCAGTGAGGGATCTTTTTGTGTGCCAGCACCTACTGCGACACGGGACTTCGGTTTATACGGTCTCAAACCCGCGGTAAAGGATCATCTCACTCAAAGAAAACCATTGTCAACTAAGGCGCAGCAAAAAGTTGCCAAAGATTTCGAAGGGTGAAAATTCCAAAGTAGCATTTAACTACATGCTTTATGCATTATAATATTCTTAATATTCTATGAAAACATATTACAACTAGAGGTACTGTGAGCAATGAGCTCACTTAATAATACCCCCGCCTCCCATATGAATATAATGGCAATATGCATGTTTTGCTCTGGAAAATCCAAAATATATGTCAGATGAAAAAGTACAATAGGAGGTGCACAATGGCAATATGTACTAAAGATTCTATGAAAGTTGCATTAAATTTCCTTCAGTGGTATATGAGAGGAGTTGCAGATAAGAAATGGGTACCCCAAAGCGTAACAGACGGACGTACAGACGGACGGACGGGCTTACCATTTTTTATATATACCCTCCCACTTTTTATGCGGGGGTATAATGAACCTTGCGCGCATGTATTCTGCACAATCAATATCTTTTTTTATAATATCACCGTCATCAAGCAGAATTGATTGTTGCTACGCTTTAGGTTTCACTAGTCAGCGGATAATAGTTGCTGTGTCTCGGGAAATAGTCCTGGTCAAGGGGAACTAGAATCTTGCTAACTCACCAATTATATACTTTTTAGGTCACCTGAGTAAACTCAGGTGACCTATTGCTATCCGTTTTCGTCCGTCGTCGTGCGTTGTGCGTCGTGCGTCGTGCGTCGTGCGTTAACATTTGAACATTTTCAGCTTCTTCTCTGCAACCACTGAACCAATTTCAACCAAATTTGGCACAAAGCATCTATGGGTGAAGGGGAACAAAAATTGTGAATTTCATGATCCCTGCCCCCCTGGGGCCTGAGGGGTGGGGCCAAAACCACTAAAATTAATGCAATCTTTAAAAATCTTCTTCTTTACTCCTGGACATCAAGCAGTCAAACTGTTTGCATGATTGTAATCAGCAATGAGTCCTCTACCAAAATTGTGAAATTCATGGCCCAGGGGTCAGGGGTTCTAGTGCTAGGGCGGGGCTAAATAAGTAGGTAGTGAAAATGCATTATTTCTTTGAAAATCTTCTTCTCTGCTCCTGGGTATGAAATAAACCAACTAAGTACATAGTTATGATGAGCAAGAGTGCCTCTTCCAGATTTGTGAATTTTATGGCCCCAGGGTCAGGGGTTCTGGTGTTAGGGCAGGGCTCTATTGATTATATAGTGAAAATACATGAATTCTTTGAAAATCTTCTTCTCTTCTCCTGGGTATTAAATTAACTAACTAAGTAATAGTTATGATGAGCAAGAGTGCCTCTACCAAAATTGTGAATTTTATGGCCCCAGGGTCAGGGGTTCTTGTTTTAGGGTGGGGCTCTAATGATTATATAGTGAAATGCATGAATTCTTTGAACATCTTATCCTTTGCTCCTGGTTAATATGCTAATGATATAATTACATATTTAAGGCCAGGATTTATTTTATTTTCAGTTTTACAAAACCTCCGCTCAAGGTTTTGAATTTTCAGAAAAAAATAAAAAAAAATTCTTTCCGATGTCAAATTTAAGTCGGGATCGAGATTTCAAATTTACGAACTCGCACTTCCGGTAGATGAAACGGCGGGTAAATAAAGCTAGATCTGAGAAATAGAAGATAGCTTGGTTTAGTGTAAAATTCATCGATACGAGTGCCATTCAAAACGTTTCACCCGTTCAAAGGACAAATAAAATGCTGACGACTTTGTTGCACAATGACATGCTGGTGAGATAATTATGTATTTGTTTTAAAAGTATCTGTCACAGACAGTGTCTGTAAATTATTTTCCTCCCCCAGGTTTTAAGCTGCCCGTGGTAGCTATTGCATATTGCCAGCGACATTGTTTAGGTCTCTGTTATAGCTTACAGTCTAAGCATCATTCTTCAGAAAAGGGTTGCTTATGCATCAGATGTAATGAATAAAACTATGGGAGAAGTTAAAGTCCATTTGAGGAAGAAATAAACAATAACCTGAAGAAATAAAAAAAAATCAACTATTAAAAGGCAAGAATATACAAATATATACAGACATGTAGTATCATTTGTATCACCCTACTCCCCAATACTCCCTGTCTGTTTTATGATAGGAATTATAGTTTTAGGCATCAAGTAAGTTTTAGAACAATGTCTACACATTCACCTAACACATTTTTAAAAAATGAAGATATATTGAAAGACTTTTAAAGAATTGATTTTTAAAAAATATATTTTGACCAACATCACAAAATTTATATAACTGGCCCAAACTGGCAGATGATGAAATAAGCAATTAAATGTTCTACTTTCCTATTTATAAGCATTACTTGTCCAGTGGTAAGGAGCCTGTTAAGATAGCATAAAAAAGAATGTACAAATGTTGATAATTGATTTACCAAAAAATTTTTATTTCTTTCTCCTTCAGTACTTTTTTATTCTCATGTTCATAACTAAACCTAAACATAAAAAAATGCTGGCCTTATAATGAAGAAAGGGGCCTCTTTCAAAATAGATAATTTCAGGGCCGCTGGGTCAGGAGTACCAGGGGGGTACTTTGACTGAAAATAAATTAATGCTTTGAAATCTGCCCCTTGATAAGCAGTTGTGCCTCTTTCAAAATTTGTGAATTTCATTTCTTTTGGATTAAAAAACGAACCAAATACAATCGCTGGAAAGTTGTTACATGATACTCAGGTGACCTATAAGGCCCGTGGGCCTCTTGTTCACTATGTTATTATACCGACATAAAAGTATTTAAAAATAAAGGATTACGAATGACTGGGGATTAGCTTCCAGACTAACGCAAGAGGATTAGCCCCTTAACATATTAGAACCGAAACAAAAGTAAAATTTAGAGATAACAGATAACCAGGGAATTAACTTCCGAAGCAGGGATTAGATCATTTAACTATCTCACGGGGAGAAGTCCATTCGCAGAGACTTCTAGGGAATAATTCACATTTACTGCGAAACTTTTATAGAGGAAAAAATCAGTAGACGTTTAAAATAAAAGGAGATAACTAACTATTTATGAAATAATTAATTCGTTTTCACATGATACGAACTCAAACAATTCTTCCGGTCATAGGATTCAAGCAAAATATAAGTAATAAAAAGTATGCATAATTAAATGACTTTCTATGAAAAATCTTTAAATAGCCTTGTCAAAAAGAACATTAAAAATACATCTACCGCTGAGCCATTAAAGGTGTTAATACATCTAATCTGGGGAGATTTGCGTTTCTTTTGAAAACTAAATATTTTGGTTGATGATTTGAATTATATACGTCCTAATTGTATATAAGTAGAAAAACACTCATTTACCATTCAAAAGTCTGTTATTTATTTTATTATAATGCGGCTGTGGTTTATATTTACTCTCTATATGACAAGGCATGGGGGATCCTACTCTGAGAAAGAGAGAACTTCAAGGAGCAATTTGGCTCTGGTGTGTGAATTCCCCTTGGAGGGAAATTCTGCTCTAGAGTACGATTCCCTATGGGGCAGTTGGGGGTTGGCTATGGGGGAAATGCAACTCTACAACACAAGTGTCTTCTTTCTGAAATATTTTTTAACAATGAGGACGAGGGTGCTCGAACCCGCCCTTACAGTACAGTATACATATCTAAAGCAATCAGATGATTTTGCAAAAAGTTAATTGGTTTAAAGTACCCTATTTGCAACAGTCGCAACTGAAATGTCCTTTAAATTTTCTTTTATAAGGTCGTTTAAAGCAATTGCTAATTAAACGCATTTAATTGATTTCCGAAAAACACAGGGGGGTAGGTCTTTTGACACTTTCCCCCGATTGCCGCGAGAATAAAAGAGGGGCGCACGTGGCGTTTTCCTCCTCTTGCTCGATAGCTTTCCCAGCGTTTCTGCACTTTTGATAATTGTTTTAAAGTACTTAAAGCCTCCGAGAGCGGTTCAGCAAAATCAAAAAATCATGCCACCCATTAGAGCCAGAAAGTCCCAAGCCACTGCCAAGTCCACCAAGGCAAGCAGGCGGACCAAGGGAGCCAGGCGGCAGCAGGACAGAGGGGGGAGGAGAAACCTAACCGCTGTCCACCACGCCGACACCAGGGCAGCCCCTGAGACCGAGGGGATTGGTACAAGTACCCAGGGCTGGGAGGAAAATATTCAAGCCTCCACGGGAATGGCGGAGGAGCATGTGCCGCTCGGTACCAACCATACGGGTAGGCAATTAGATTTCTCTACTTCGTGGCCTGTCCCGGAGGAAGCTGCCCTGTCAACGGCAGACAATTTCGGGGCGATGCCAAACATGGTGGTTTAAGCTGGGGACGATATAGGTGCCCATGTTCCAATGGCTTTAAAACAAAAAAATTGGGCGGGGAACTATATAAACTTAGCCCTGCTTACAAAGGGAAGCGCTGAACTGCAGCAGTTCGCTGCGGGTAGTAATTTTGTCTTAAATGATAAGGGGGAACTCGAGGCTAAGCCCAAAGTTTTGAATGAGAAGATAACAACCATCGATAGATGGACTGATGCTTTTCTGTTATATATGCACATATATATTCAAATGCACCCAGTGAGGGCAGCCGAATTGGTTCAATATATGTTTGTCATTCGCGATGCAGCGAGGAAATTTCCGGGCATGGGATGGAGAAATTACGACGAGCAATTAAGAGTTCGTCAAGCAATATCTTACCAAAATTGGGCAAAATAAAATCCTGATTTATGGCTACGTTTGATCGCTGTCCCACCCAGGCCGGAACCTAGCCTCGCTGCATCGCACACACCAAACCAAACTGGTGTATGCTTTGGTTACAATAGAGGTCGTTGCATTACAGCCAATTGCAAATTTGCGCATCTATGTTCTCTTTGTAAAGGAAAGCACCCAAAATCGAGTTGTGCAAAAAATGATACTTTTCGTACCTCAAAAGCCTCAAACAGCACCGCTGCAACCAATAAAGGTCAAAAACTTTAAATTAGCAAATTCCCCTATAAACACTGCAGTTTAAAAATTTTTTTCTTACAAATTATCCGAATTTAGAAGTAGCAAAAGAACTTATGAATGGTTTTCAATTTGGTTTTCGATTGCATTACCGGGGTCCTCGAGAAAAAACAAAAGCACCTAATTTGCCCTCTTTTTATAAACATGCAGATGTCGCTAGAGTCAATATCAAAAAAGAAATTGATAAAGGAAGGATGGCTGGCCCATTTAAATCACGACCTATGTCAAATTTGCGAGTTTCGCCACTGGGAGTAGTGCCCAAGAAAGCGGAGGGGGAATTCAGGGTAATTCATCACCTCTCATACCCTACCAATAATTCCGTCAACGATTTTATTGACGAAGAGCTTTGTTCTGTCAATTACACAAAATTTGACGAGGCCATTAGCATGGTTCAACGTGTTGGGCGCGGATCTTACCTAGCCAAATCGGATACCAAAAGCGCTTTCAGATTAATGCCCATTTGGCCCGGTGATTTTGAACTTCTGGGTTTCAAGTTTGACGGCTGTTATTATTTTGACAAATGCCTCCCCTTTGGGTGTTCTATATCGTGCGCTACATTCGAAAAAATTTCCTCGTTTCTAGAGTGGCTTGTGCGCGAGCGAGCTTCTTCTAGAGAAGTCCTACACTACTTAGACGATTTCTTGTTCGGGGGTTATACGGCAGACGAGTGTCAAATGATAGTAGAAACTATCATACAGGCCTGTCAAGAATTAGGGGTCCCAAAAGCATGGGAAAAAAGCGAGGGTCCACAAGAGGTTATTACTTTTCTTGGGCTTGAAATTGATACGCAAAAAATGCAGGTCAGGTTGCCGGAAGAAAAGGTGAATGAAATCAGCATGACTATCGAAGGCATATTGAAGAAATCGAAAACGAACTTGAAAACCATGCAATCTCTAATAGGATATCTAAATTTTGCCTGCAGAGCAATTCCTCCAGGTCGCACTTTCTGCAGGCGGCTGTCAAATGCAACACGTGGTTTGTCTCAACCCTATCATCATTTAAGAGTAACAAAAGAGATAAAAGCGGATTTACTTGTATGGCTGGATTTTTTTGACAAATTTAACGGTTTTGTGGTATTCCAAGAAAAGTTTTGGGTATCTAACATAGATTTAGAACTTTTTTCAGATAGCTCGGCACGTCGAGGAAATGGTTTGGGAATTTATTTTAGCGGTGCATGGACCTACGGGGTATGGCCAGAGTTTTGGTTCAATAAGGGCTATACTAATGATATCACCGTGTTGGAATTTTTTCCCTTGCTTGTTTCAGTAATTTTATGGGGGGAAAAGCTGCGAAACAAAAAAGTTTTATTTAGATCTGATAATCAATCAGTGGTACATATTGTGAATTCGATGACATCAAAATCAGAATTAGTAATGATCATGTTGCGCAAATTCGTTCTAAAATGCTTGCAGTTGAACATTTCATTTAAAGCGCAGCACGTCTCGGGCGTTCAGAATTCATTGACGGACAGTTTGTCACGTTTACAATTTCAGCGATTTCACAAGTTGGTTCCGGACGCAGACAGTCAGCCGACACCATTTCCAGAGGCAGTTTGGACTATTTTCGAGACGAAATCACTCGATTGTTAGATGCAAGCATTTCAGCAAACAACAGGGCTGTATACTTACAAGCTTTAAAGAATTTTAAAGATTTCAGAATATTGACAAAACTACCTGATAAATGGCCAGTCCCTTCAAACCATATTCTGTTATTTATAGCATATCACTCAGGCAAGGGCTCAGCAGCTTCAACAGTTTCATCCTTATTTCGGGTATTAGCTATGTACACAAACTGAGACAATGGACCGACCCGGCAGAGTTATTCATAGTTAGGAAAGCTTTGGAAGGGTTGCGAAGATTAAATAGAACGAAAGACCACAGAGCACCTATTTCGGAGGAGCTTCTCGTTAAGATCTGTGGCGCTCTAAATCAAGTGTGTTATTCGGAATATGAAACATTCTTGTTTAGATCAGTTTTTACCTTGGCCTTTTACGGCCTATTTAGGGTAGGGGAGTTAGTGTATACCTCGGAGCATTGTGCCCATGTACCCTTAACTATTAAGGATATAAAATTTTGTACGTCAAAGAGCGTTACTTGCGCCTCTATTTCTGTAAGATTCTCTAAAACTGATCAAACAGGAAAAGGTATCAATATTTTATTACCGTCTATTCATCAAGGAAACATTTGCCCAGTAAATAACTTGAAAAAATTTCTTTCAGTGAGACCACTTGTTGAGGGTTCATTATTTGTGCAAAGCAATAAATCCCCGCTAACTAGATATCAGTTTAACGCCGTCCTAAGAAAAACCCTTTCCAAAATTAATCACCCAATTTCTGCTTACAAATCATATTCGTTTAGAATTGGAGGTGCAACGTGCCTTGCCTTGAAAGGGGTATCACATGACAAAATCCAATTACTGGGACGCTGGAAATCAAGCGCATTCCTAAAGTATATCAGATTAGATATGATGTGAGCTTTGTAGATGAATTGTATTTACCATATTATTTATTGCTTCTTTAGAACACCATGTATGGATTGTTGGATCTTCAATTGTTTACTGGGCATGTAGATGGGCGGCTACAAATCTGACTACTAACTTACGCTTGGAAAATTTAGGCGTTCAGGTAACCTGGATTGGCAAAAGGGGCATGAAATGGGGGGATCTTATTGACTCGATGGAGCAAAAGTTAACAAAATGTCCCCCTCCCGCATATTTAATTATACACCTTGGGGGGAATGATATCACTTCAATTAAAAGCGAGGTGTTATGTACCAGAATAGAGCACGATATATGTTTAATGACAAACAGATTACCAAGTTGTAAAATGATATGGTCTGATATACTCCCGCGCCGGAAATGGATAGGGGGTCGTGACATATGTTCTGTCGAACGGAAGCGAAAACGAGTTAATAGATCTGCTCGTAGGGCGGTCGCATCAGTAAACGGCAGTGTTATTAATCACCCTGATCTAGAGTTTTCGGAGGAGGGGCTTTACCGCGCTGACGGAGTCCATATGTCTGACGTGGGAAATGCAATTATAACAAACACTTTTCAATCAGCCATAGAAGCTTTTATCTCCTCTTAAATTTTATTTGTTGGGTGGCAGAGATGTATAGACATCTCTGAGTGGCGGATATGTCAGACAAGCAGAGACATTTGTCATCATTATATTAATTATTGTTTATGTATGATTATCTATTTTACATGATTTGTAGAGCATGTTGTGGCTCGCTAAGGCTACCCTAGGAGCCAATACAAGCTTGCTATGGAGTGCACTAGGAGCTTGTGTGAGGGATCTGTTCGGTATAACAGTAACCTCGTACCCCGTTCGGTATAACGGGTGGTTATTTTTGCCCTACTCAGTATAGTGGGCTTACCTGTTCAGTATAACGGGTGGTCATCTTTGCCCTACTCAGTATAGTGGGCTTACCTGTTCAGTATAACAGGTGCCTCGCTAAGGAATCCCCTAGGAGGCAATTACATATCCCAGCTGACTCGCTAAAGGGTACCCTAGGAGTCGATTTATACATATTGTTACGCCTTGCTATGGATTACCCTAGAAGGCGAGGTGCCATAACGCTCGTTATCAATTTAGGTGTGTGGCACCCAATGATTGTTAAATGCTTGTCTGACATTTGTCATTGAAACAATTATTAAAGCTGTGGCCTTTATCATCCAAGAAACATGTTTTGTTATTTTTTCGGAAAAATATTCTATTAATTTAAGCAACGGTTGTGGAAAACATATTTGACTCCTGACTTAATTTAGTTCACTCCTGACTTAATTTAGTTCATTTGTATATTTTTATAAAAAAATAAAATTATTTGACTTTAGTGAAATGTATTCATAAACATTTTGTGCCATTAAAAATACTGCACAAGTATAATACTTCCGGATCATCGTTTTTCTGCGTAAAACAAAAAAAAAAAAACGAATGATTGTCTTTGCTTTGAAAGATTTTTTAGTTAATGCTTTTTTAATAAAAGAACCTGATCAAAGATGCAATGTAATGTAAATATTTTAAAGAAGTCGTCGTACACCGATTCTGTAACGAAGCGTATACATAAATACATTGAATTTGAGTTTAAAGTGTTTATTGATTATATTCAATATGAACCATTATGAAAAGGTCAAGATAAATTTTTCCTTACATTTTGAAATTGGTCATTTTTTGGATTGGTATTTTCAGCGCCCCCTTCAGACCTTGTGTTATATTTTTATAATTGTAAGAATGTCAAATGACAATAATTTTTCTTGTTCAATACTCTAATTCTGAGACAAACAATTTGGAAAAATCATATAAATAAAACAAGTAGCTTTGAATTTTGCGAACTATGTTGCAATCACCATATTCAAATTCCATTAATCATGCCAATGCGACGAAGAAGTCAGTGATGCCAAATTGATAAATTAAGACAGATTCCTAAATTTCAAAATTAATTGAGAAGAAAAATTAAAAAATATATTACATTATATTTTCGTCATGCAATAACTGTTCGTTATTTCCATATTTGATTTAAAATATTAAGCATTCAAGTGCCTATAGAGACAGGGTCTTAATCAGTGATGAGAACGGTGGTAATGAGTGAATAAAAGGCACAAAAGAGAGGATTTTATTCGTTTTGGAAAATGTCCCCGTTTAGATACAATAAAACAAGAACTGGTGTGTGAATAATAATGAGTGTGAAATAGGTCCCCGTTTGTGCTGTGAAATGTGCTTAGCTTAAATTTAAAGATATTGATATGTTCTCATTATATTTGTCATCAGGGTTACATGGTGATTAATATTTTAAGTCAAAAGACAATGACATATTAAAAATTAAGAAGTCCCCACTTTGACAGTCTCTAACCCCTGTCCCCGTTTGACACCCTTCACACGTACCCACACACATTCTCCCACAAAAACACACAAAAAATAGGTTGATAACCGTTTGGTGAGTTAACATTAATTTTTTAAACACTTATTTTTTTTCTCTTAAGAAATTCCAGGGTAGGATTTTCTTTTATTTTTTGGACTGGGGTGGACCCCCTATGGTAAAAATAATCTGGATCTGCGCCTGCTTTACCTGTTTGGTAAGTCTCTAAAATTTTAATATGAAACAGGGAATGTCTTTGAAGAGATTAGATTCATCCCATTTACAATGTTAGCACATGCATACTTGTAAAATTAGCATCTGTGCATCTCATAATGACTGTAGTCTATAAAGTTTCGTTATTTAGTCCCTTTTACATAACAATCATTATAGCTTGTGGTCTTAAACTGGATACAAACGAACATATTTCCTTTCTTTTTTTACAAAAAAGAGCAACGTCCTTTAGAAATGATTTATTGATTGATTGTATACTGTTTAACTGTCCCTCTCCAGAATATTTCACTTATATGGAGTCGTCACATTTGCCGGTGAAGGGCTGCAAATTTAGGCTTATGCTCGGCACTTACGGTCTTTAAACAGGGAGGAATCTTTATCGTGCCACACCTGCTGTGACACGGGGCCTCGGTTTACACAGTCTCATCCGAAGGACCGCCCCATTTTGTCGCCTTTTACGACAAGCAAGGGGGTAATGAAGAAGGATATGGAGATAACGGACAGTGTTCAATATCAAAATCCATAAAACAATACAAAATAGGAGCAGAGCAAACACGGACCTCCGTACCATAAGAGGTAGGATCAGGTACCATGGAGAAGTGAGCATCCCCTGCCGACCAGTCACACCAGCCGTGTGCTCCTTGTCATGATCGGAAAATAACGGAAAAATCCGTTGTCAACTCAGTAAAGAAATAACAGACTTACAATTTATAGAAAAACGTCAGTCAGCACTTGACTCAATATGATAAATTGTATTTGCTGATAAGGTCATTGTAACGACCATTGAACTTTCGAAATGATGACTTTAAACGATGCTGCTGATATTCTTCTTTCATGAACTTGTTGGTCAATAATTTACCTCAACTTAGAAATTTTTACATACTTAGAGCATGCTCTTGCGTGTCGAATCAACTGAGATATAACGGTATACACTCCGTACGTAAGTGATGAAAGGATAAAAATACAACCGAGTAACCGTGTAGCAGTTTAAGTATTCGATACTCGGACGTTTCATCGAGTACTCTGATAACCGGGTACGTACACGTTGGCATCTCTAGATGAAAGTAAAAAAATATTCTTGATGCTTGGCTGAGAAATAAGCTTAAAGTTGCCACCTTCATACCATCTCCCCAGTTACTTTGACATTATTTGGAGCAGAATTTGTACAAAATGTTATGCGTGAAAAGAAGAAAACACTTGCTCTGGCCTTCAACTCGAAATATAGACATTTCGACACCGTATTGCCAATAAACAATAGTAATTTCCATGCTTATGTCCTAGTGATCTTGAAATAAAAGTCACCACAGACTCTGACATATCTGTGTCATATTGGGATATTTTACTTGAAAAATAGACTTTTTTGGTAAACCAACGAGCAAACTATATGATAAACTCGATGATTTCTTTCCTATCGTCAATGTCCCTTACTTATGAATAAATATACCTTCAACACCTGCATACCGAGTTTATGTATCTCGGACGATTCGATAGTCAAGTGCATGATAAACGCATAGCAGTCTCGTTGAAAGTCACAATTTCGTAAGTTCAGTGTCAGACTCTGATATATCTTTTATCTCACCAGGATATATTATATCGACGTAGGAATAGAAATTACCATGTTTATTAACAATGCGTCGTCTATATATCTAAATTTCGAGTTGAAGGCCACAACAAGTGTTTTCTTCTTTTCACGTATAAGACTTTGCACAAATTCTGCTTCATATCAATAAGAAAAAAAGATCTACTATTAACGTAGCGCAATTAGTACCCATGGGGATTCCAATTGAATGTTAGAATACCTGGTCTCCAAAAACCACATTACCAATCAGTAACTCAATCATCTCTTTGATGTCAACTTCAGAGTACTTGTTGGTGTAATCAGAATGTGTTTCAACAATATAATGCAAATGATCAATGAACAAGTAATTAAATTTACGATTTCCATTTTCATTGAAAAACCAGTTGTCAATTATATCAAAAAGCCTAGACTTCCACTTATCGTGGGGAAACCGTTGTGATTTAAGTTGAAATGTCTTATTTTTTTAAGTTGTTGAATTTGGTATTTTTTTTATTTCAAATTGTTCAAAGCTATTTAATCTATTCTAAAAAGGTGTTAACGTCTTCTCTTTTATATCTGGCCCATAATCTGGCGTAATTTCCAATGGAATGCATAATAATTATGAAAACCCTACGCCAGTTAAGGGGATGAAGGACATTTAGCTGAAAAAAATTCCTGTCATTTAATTTTTGTCGTATTATGTATTTATCTTATTTAGTATGTCCTACATACTATAAGGCAGACATATCAATAGGTTTCTAGACTTATTTCTGAGACATTGAGTGACAAATACCATACCCCACATTGTCTGAGCGGAGTTTTTATTCTCCGTGTTTCTGGGTGCATTACTCGGTCGATAATTGAAATTTTTCACCATAGATAAAAAAAATATACCAGCGGAAATGTGTCATTTAAAATATCTTAGAGTATGAGTAGGGTTTAAAATTCGAAAAAGCAAAATTCTTTTGTAACACCATATCTGGAGACAGAAATTTACTACTGTTTTAAGACAGTTAAACCTTAAAAAAAAATTAATTTGCAAAAAATCCTATCATTCAATATTTAAAAATGTACGTCGAAGTTGAAGGTCGTCATTATATTGATTAACTGAAAAAATATCGATTGGTGAAGCTGAGCTCAATATTGCATGGGGAAAAGTTAAACGAGTCATGATCATGAGAAAAACGTGTCATGTTTACATTTCTCGAGTACAGGAAAACTCAACTATGACGTCACACATTCCTGGAATAAGCGAAAATAAGACAAACCCACAGAAATTTGCCGTTAACAACCATGTAAAAATACTTTTTGTGTTCTGAAATTTACTAAATACCCTACCATTTACATATTATGGCCCGTTTTTATGATTTAATAGTACCCGTTTTTACCGTGTATGATCTTAATTACTGAACTAAGAGATCCACTATGACGTCAAAGACGCACTGGACCCGCAGAGTAGGGAAACGGCAGAGTGGATTTGTCTATTCCGTAATTTGATAATATTTGCAAGAAATATTGAATGTTTTCAGATATTTTATACTAGATGGTGAACGCAAACAATCAGTCAAAAAATTATATAAGTACTGGGTTTTCAATCTCGTTTTGTACATATTTTATCAGGAATTATGACGTAAATCAACTGAGTCACGTGACCCTAC